GTAACTTATATTTATAATCATAATCGTTGTTATGAATTTATAAATAAGATTTATCAATGATTCCAAGTCATAATACCGATTGATCTACTATGGAGGTGATGTCTATGCTAGATTTAGTAAAGTATTTAAAGTGGGATTTCCAAACAATATATGATGTATACTAAAAGAACCCTACCTTCGTTATGATTTTACATAGTTGCTCCTTACTTGATAGATCTTGATGTAGACATTTGGATTGTTGATGAATCTAGACTATCATTAGTCACCAAGACTATAAGACTAAGACTTAGTAATATGTACCTAGTTCATTTCAAAGGAAAAGCTAAAGTGCTAGGTGAAACGTTGCTCAAATTTCAAGTAATCAACTTTTAGCAAGTGAGTGCATAGCTACTTTCATCTTACACAAAGATATGAAGTATTTAGATAATTAAATGTTATATGTGTTTATTATCTGTGAGTAAGATGTTCTATGTTAGATGAAATAATATAAGATGATCTTTATATGATTTTTACCGTATATGTATTTTTTGTACTTATAATATATTGGGTAGTAATAGGTGATGATAGATGACAGATGATGAGGGTAATGGGTTGTAACGTCCTCATTTTCAACCAAAATTCTTTCTTTACCATATGCCATAATAAATATATTGGTCCCTGCCAAAACTACACAATGGGCCCCGTAGGCATATAAAACGGGCCCCACCCAAACTACCTAATGGGCCCCGCTCAATCTACATGACGGGCCTCGCCCGGTGTACATACATAATGGGCCCCGCCCAACATACACAACCATATTACACACATAAAAACTACACTTTTAGGTTCTACTACTATGGGCACATAGAGGCTATTCTTTGTACTCTACTAACTTCGGGTACACTAACATTGAACACCTAGATACTATCCTATCGGTTTAACTTTACTAGCTCTTATAACCTAACACACATGGATATGTATTGTAATACATAGTATAGTGAGGTAACTCAACTAGACAATTACTCAGACGATTGACAGTTATCTGGGCGATTCTACTTGCGATCCAACTGGCTGGTAACGTGTCTAACAAGTATTAACCTATAATACTATAACTTATTAATCCCTATGATAATTTGGTACTGAAAGCTAGATCTTTCACCAATCCCAATGAATATTAAGAGTTCTATCAAATAAGGATCAACCAGGCAGGAAAGTTAGGTGGCAGGATTATTTTCGGCATATAGCCTTTTTGAAATCCAACCACCAAGCCAACATAACTATTATACACACATTTCTCGTAAGCAGATCAATCAGCATTATAACTGGAATTACTGATAAGTCTTATAACAATTAGTATGAATATAAATATAAGTTACACTTAAATCGAAATCAGTGTAGCCTAAATTACATGGATCCTAGAGAAAACCGGGATTTGTATGGGCAAGACTTCAACCCGAGCACTTCTTTATGCCCGACTCTTGGATGCCGCAGGGCCTTGCTAAAGTAGTCAGAGACAAGAAAAAGTATAAGTGCTAGGGTGTGGGATGGCTTCAAATGATTTTGAGGGTCAAGGGATGAGAGAATGAGCAACATAATGCTTCTATTTATAGGATATTTTAGCATGCATACCATGCACTTTCGTCGACGTCGCTCTTCCAGAATGTTGCCACATGTCAAGCTCTATGTGGTCCTCGTAGCCACCTTCTAGAAGCGCGCGCCGTGCGTATGCGCGTGTGATGCAAAACGCGGATCTTGTAAGTTTTTTTTACTTCTTCATATGAGCTTTATTTTTTACGTTCTTTATATCCATGTGTAGCTATCGACGAGATCTAAAACTGTTATTTAGACTCCATCGGCTAATTCTCACTTTATTTTTAAAGTTATATTTTTATAGGCTTAGACTGTTAAAGTTCGTATAAATATCATAACTCTCTCATACGATATCCTTTCTCGAATGTCTTTATATCGACGGATAGGTATTGATGAGAAATTCAACTCCGTTTTAGATTGTTTTTCCTAAAAATCAACCAATCTTAATTTCGGTTTCTGTGTCGCATGCTGTTGTGCTGTAACTTCTAAAAATAATAACTTCCTCTTATCAAGTCAGATTTGGACGTTCTCTATACGCACGCTCTCGGTTTTGCGATTACTACGAATTCCATCAAGACTAATTATCCTAAATAGTCCTCCATAAAAACATCTATTTACGTAGTTGGTCGCTTATACTATAAGGCGAAAAAGGGGTGTTGCAACTCTCCCCCGCTTATAGAGATTCCGTCCCCAAAATCCTACTCCTAACACACTTTAAGATAATGCCTACATGTTATCCTATTGGGGTTTCATGAGATCAAGCTAATATATAGCCACCGTTTCCACATCGAATTCATCCATATGTACTTATTTAGTCATAGGACTTCTTTTTCTACCATAGACGTACTCCCGAACTCTTCGCGAAGTCTTCCAAAACTGGGAATTTGTCGGTCTGGGCTACCAGAATTTACACTCTATGTTTGACGATCGCTTTCAGACATAAAATTTCGACACCATCGACTGGTTATGAGGTGGTTAACTATGTAATTTTATCTATGACATCCTAACGGAATCCATTTTCAGGAGCATGCCTCTAAAAGGCTTATAACATGTCCTTAAAGCACTCATGAATCTAAATTACAAACGGTATTACAACCTAGTTCAAGTGTTCCAACATCCTGAATTTTAACCAAAACTACTATAACAGGTTTACTAGCTTGAGAACATTGGAACCAATACTCTAATATTGGTGACAGACTCATTATAAGGCTTGTTTTTTAAGCTTTTGAGGCTACAACTGATTTAGAGGTCCTTAATCTACACTGTACGAATGCTAAATTCTAACTGGCTTCCTACTCCAACTTATGAAGGTTTGAATTCGATCTTAGTTTTCTATTAACTCATACATTTACCGACTTAAAGGAATAACTAAACCAAACACGTAGCTCACCCCAAAGACCAGTGATGCATATACAGTTGCACTTGATTATCTATTTAACATGATTCTTAACTAAACGAACGTGTTTAGGAATTTTATACTAATTTCTTACAATCCTTTTGTGTTCTCTACCATCAATAAAAACCTCTCATCCTAAAAATCTTGAACTGATCCTCGATAATGTTCTACCATCTTATTGCAGAATTAAACCTCAAAGGAAATCCTTAAATCCGTTTCCTTGCAGGTCTATCTTTTATTGACATCTGACAAGGTGTCTTTACAACTGAATCTCCAACAACTACTACTGCTTATGTAGTTTTAACATTGATTCACTCCTAGAATTGATCTCTTTCCAATTTACGCTAGGGACTCTTACTTAGTCTTGATTGCTACTGAAAATCATTAAGACCGTTTGGTTGAACCTGGATCAACCACTTAATCTATCAACCCTATTATGTATATTGTTGATACATCTGAAACCCTTGGAAAGTACGATCGCCTCTCTTAATCGAAATGGTCCCACCGAAATCATCCTATTTTAGGCGTTTGTATACGCATATTAGATGATGAACTGCAACGTTCGCACTACGGAAACGATTTCTCATTGACCTAGATCCTATGGTTTCCGTCTTTTGGTATAGGGCAACTAAGTCCTTGCTACGAGATTAACAAAGCTTTCTAAATATGATGTATCCCTCGAGTACTCAATGCTCTCTATGTCCAACTACATCATCTATTGAATTACTAGTCCTATACTGCGAGGATGAATCCCTTATTCGTGAAGGTACGAACCTAGATGGTTCTCTTGGCTATCTGAGTTGTACCTGGGAATTTGGCAAATTCCTAAATCCTATCAGACGCTTGTAAGGAAAGACCAACCTTTACTTGAGAAGAAAGAAACTCATAGCCTATGGGTAATCTAATAAAATACTTCTTTCTTTTGTTAATCGTACAACGAAATCGAAACTAACAACCTCCGCCTACTTGTGCCACCACTCTCCTGGACCTTGACATCGAAGTCGAAAGTCGAACTACTTTTCGTACTTTCTACTTAAGGGTTGGTTCTCCCTCACTTGGGTTTGACCCATCATTTGTTGCTTCTTGTAACTAGCTGAAGCCTAAGATGGTTCCTTTTGACTTTGAAGAAACTCACACTACTAGAAAACAGACCTTTAATGACGCGCTTTTTATGACACGCACTGATTAATGATACGCAAAAGGGCGTGCCCTTAAAATAGTGTCATCTCTCCAAAAAATTTAAGGATTTACGTCACGCATTATTGCGTGCCCTTAATTTAGTGTCTCAAGAAAAAAATTAAAAACACGGAGGGTGCTTTATCTTAAACGTGCGTCGTCTATACCTGTCGCTTTATAATTTTAATGAAACGCACTTTTAGTTGACAAGGGGGAAAACGAAATCCCCAAAATTTTTAAAACCCGCCTCGTTTTTCTACCTTCTATCTATCTTTCATCTTTGCAATCCACTCTCCCTTCTCTGATACTCTCTCCTCTAGATCTCCCTTCATTCTCTACCTCCCGTCTCTTTGTAAACCCTAAGCCATCGCCACCTCCCTTCTCTCTAGCACGTGCTAGGGTTTTAATTTTATTCCAAGCTTCCGCTTCTCTCGTTTTCTCTCAACCCAGTACGTGAGAGGGTTATGAAATAAAGAAAAACCCCAATGCTCCACAAAGACTCCTTTCTGAAAAATATCATGTAAAGCGTGGAGACGGAGTCTGAAATCATCAAGAGGAGAACAAGAAGATAAAGCGAAGGTGAATCGTAATTGATCTGCGAGGTCTCCTCATCAATGGCGTCGACCAAATCTAAAACCTCGAATTCAAAGAAATATTCGGAGAACTTAGATGTTAACACAAGAGGTCCCAGGTGAATCGCAATTGATTTGTAAGTATTTTGGTTCAATATTGTTTATTCTCAAAGTGTTGGTTGTGGGGGTAAATTTGTTATATTCACATCATAGTCTTTTCTCATGTTTTGTGAGTTACAATCTCAATTTTTTTCGTTTTAGATTGACTACCTTCATTAGACCAAAAGATGTTCCCACTGATTCTACTAGTAGGGAAGCTAATCGCAAGTGGGTCTGGGGGAAAAACAAAAGGTCCCATTACTCAGGTATTCAAATCTCATGATTCTATGGTCTGGGAGGCGAAATCTAAATATACTGAAAGGAATTTGAAGAAACGAAAAGAAGAAGAAATAATTTGTAAAATATGTGGAGAATTCGGCCATTTTACTCAGGTATTCAAATCTAATGATTCTATCAGCATCATCTTATAAAATGGTTGTTCTTAGTTCTTTATGATTTTTAAATACATGCAGACTATGTTAGGCTCAACTATCTGATTCATCAACAACTAATATCTCAATATGTGATTTCACAGTAAGCTTCAAAGTGAAGCTCTAAGAGAAGCCATTACTCAAATCACCACAGATGCAAAAGAGAAGAAGCATAATTTCACTAAAACCATTGAACTCCAAATTAGACTCAAGAACTACGACCCAAAAAAGGACAAATGTTTCAGTGGAATAGTGAAATTGCCTCACATTCCCAGGCCTAAATTGAAAGTTTGCATGCTTGGAGATGCCCCAACATGTTGAAGAGGTAATAAGCTTTCTCAACTATCGTGAGTCTCTTGTGATTTTCTATGCAATTTCGTAAGTGTCTATAAGTGTTCATAAACAATGATGTTTCTATAGATCTTTTTAAACAGATTGGTTTTGGGATTGTGGCTTGTGGCTTGTATAAAACATTTTATTAATGTAATTTGGTTATGGATGTCTTGCTTATGTGTAAATGCAGGTTCTTCCACCTTCTAATGTGACTGGAGCTCTACATATTGGTCATGCTTTAACTGCTGCTATCCAGGTTAATATTTTAAAGAACTCTTACATTAGGACATATGCAACAATTATTGTGTAATTACTATTTTATGTTTCTCAACATCAACTCATGGATAGGATGTTTGATGAATTTGCAAATCTCTGGATGAAAATGAAGATTCAAGTTAGATAGATATGTTAATAATAATTAATAGGTGTTATTGTAATTGTAAGATAGATATGTTAATAATAATTAATAGGTGTTATTGTAATTTGGTGAACCAGTGGGACCATCTAGACTAGTACATAGGCATAGGAGAAGGAGAAAGACATTTGATAGAAACAATAAAGATTGTTCTGATGTAAGATCACAAGTAGAAGATAAAAGCAACAGTTGTGAAAACCAGAAAGGTGAAAAATCTATAATAAGGTGTAGCTCTACTTCTTCGGTAGAATCCAATTCCAGTTCACTGAATATGTTGTCAGATCGTGTTGCCAGACAAAGGGTTTCAGATGAGATTGAAGGGACTTCAGGATGGAAGCTTTCCAACTGTCCTTAGAATTTACAAGTAATTGCAAGATCTCCTGTATCTCTTACACGTTTCATGCCAGATGATATTCCAGGTGTCACTTCTCCCATGGTATACATTGGCATGTTATTCAGCTGGTTTGCATGGCATGTTGAAGATCATGAGCTTCACAGCTTAAATTTCCTCCACATTGGCTCTCCCAAGACCTGGTATGCAGTCCCTGGGGATTATGCATTCACTTTTGAGGAAGTAATCTGTTCAAAGGCTTATGGTGGAGGTGTAGATCGGTTAGGTATGTAAAATGCTTACTCTTGATTATATCATTGGCATTGCAATGCATATACCAAATGATATTCCAGGTGTCACTTCTCCCATGGTATACATTGGCATGTTATTCAGCTGGTTTGCATGGCATGTTGAAGATCATGAGCTTCACAGCTTAAATTTCCTCCACATTGGCTCTCCCAAGACCTGGTATGCAGTCCCTGGCGATTATTCATTCACTTTTGAGGAAGTAATCCGTTCAAAGGCTTATGGTGGAGGTGTAGATCGGTTAGCTATGTAAAATTCTTACTCTTGATTATATCATTGGCATTGCAATGCATATAAAAAGAGCTGCTATAATATGCATCTCTCACCTTCTTAAAGCATTTCTAAGATAAAAAAAATGAACTTATATAATGACTATTTGTCAACATGGAATGCCTAGGGCTTCAAATTACTTCTTTAGCAATTCATAAAGCTCCTGCCATTTTTGTTTAACAGCTTCTCTAACACTCTTGGGCGAAAAGACTACCCTTCTATCACTTGAAACTGTTGTTGCATCTGGCATTCCATGTTGCAGGTGTGTTATTTCTTTGTTCAAAACCCATGCTTTTATGCCTTGCACTTCACATTGTCAACTTCCTTTGGAAAATCTCAAACTAATTGTGTAAAACATATTGTGGTAAATTTAGGACATTCTACTGAAAATTTCTTTTGTTTCATGCTTGCAGGTTAGTACAGAACTCTGGTGAATTTGTAGTGACCTTTCCAAGGGCTTACCACATAGGATTCAGCCATGGTAATGTTTTGCAGTTTTTTTTTGTGGTTTGATATATTTATACTTTATAGACTCTAATATCAAACCATTGTCTTTAAAGGTTTCAATTGTGGGGAAGCTGCTAACTTTGGAACCCCAAAGTGGCTTTCAGTAGCTAAAGAGACTGCAGTGCGCAGAGATGCCATGAATTTTCTTCCTATGCTTTCACATCAACAGCTGCTTTACCTACTTACCATGTCATTTATTCCAAGGCGAGCTAGAAATCTTTCTAAGTCTTTTGACATATGAAGCTAGAAAGAGTTATTCCAAATTATATCAGGAGGGGTAAATTGGTGATATTATTAAAATGTATTTTAATGGCAGGGTGCCTAGGTCCTTGTTACCAGGTATACGAAGCTCTCGTTTAAAAGATCGTCTGAAAGAAGAGTGTGAGCTGTTGGTGAAGAAGGAATTCATTGAAGATATCCTCAAAGAAAACAAATTGTTGACTTGTATTCTTAATAGATCTTCCTCTTATCATGCAGTCCTATGGGATCTTGAATCCCTCTCACCATCTGTCATTAATAATAGTACAATCATCAATCCACAAACTGAAAACTTTCATGTTGAAAAAGACAACGAAAAACTTGTTCATGTAGAGGATGAGGACATGTCGAGTGATTTTCAAATTGATTCAGGGACATTACCTAGAATATTATGTTTAGAGCATGCAAGCAAAGTTGAAGAGCTGTTGGACTCCATAGGTGGAGCAAAACTGCTTATAATATGCCATTTAGGTCACCATTCACAGTTTCTGTTTTTCTTTTTTCAATAATTTGATTTTTTTGTGTGATTTGAAACTAACTTATTATATACTACTGTTTGTAGATTTTCTGAAAATTAAGGCACAAGTTTCAGCCATAGCAGAGGAGATTGGTAGCATGTTTAGATATGAAGATGTTGAATTACATGATGCCAACAGGGATGACTTGGAGATCCAACATACATGATACGGGCTGTTCCAAGCAATGCATATGATAACATCCACTGTACACTTCTTGCTCACAGTGCAGTTCATGGGGCCATGGAAGGGTTTTCTGGTTTTACAGTTGGACCTTTTAATAGCAGACATGCATATATTCCAATACAGGTAATTAAGCACTCTTACTCTCTCATATTTACATTAATTATATTATTATTATTGCAAATTAATATTTATAATTTACAATTATAAATATTTTTAAGTTGACAGATAGGATGTGGGCTAGACTTTTGGCTTCTACTAATCAACCTACAAATGTTGTTAAGTTGACTTTTCCACATGTACATTGTTTTTGTTCTTTTGTAGGCTTTGTCAGCCCTGCAGTTCTTACTTAACAGGGTCCGGAACCTTCAAGAAACTGTTTCAAAGTTGGATTTGATACTAATGCTGTCCAGGTAAAATACTTAATTTATTGGAAACAATTATGATTTACAATGATATAAGTAAAAAGACCAAATTGACACTCTTTTTGAATTCCATTGCAGTTCTTACTTAACAGGGTTTGGAACCTTCAATAAATACTTTGTGGTATTTATTGTGTTTGCAGAATATGATTGAAGGGTTGGGGATTACAGGGTATGAAGGCACCTTCTGGAAGGTTTGTGAGATTACACTTTCAGTACTAAGGGAACACAGAGAAACATTGATGAGTGTTCTCCAGACTTTCATCCATGATCCTCTTGTGGAGTGGACAAAAACTCATAAGTCTAGTGGAGTAGAATTCCAGAACCCTCATGCGCAGGTTGGTTGCATCTTCCTTCTTTCTTTCTGTTATAAATAAAACGAGCTTTGCTTTTGCTTGAAAGTTGAAATAAAAAAGGGTTACATTTTAATATGAAAAAAAGTTGGAAGTGGAATGCTATGGTGTGATAGAAAGAAGAAATGAAAGTAGATTGGTACATTCTCTCGGTTTCTGAAGATAAGATGCTAAAATAAATAGCTAAATCAAATTACAATGCTTTAATTGGGTATAGGTTGCAACTGGTAGATTATTAAAGAAATGGCATGGTCACTATAGGCCTGTTACTTGATTGGTCTTTTCTAATGATCAGTCACTTTTGATTTCTGGATCTGAGGATGGAACTGTTAGAGTCTGGTCACTTCTGATGTATGTATAATTACTCATTTACCCTTTTACATTCATGAGTTGCAATTTTAGGGTTAATTACTATAATACATTTTCTTCATCTTGTGATCAAGATATGCAATACCTAAACTTTTTTACAATATAATATTGTTAAATTAATAATCTAATTCCAACTTTTTTCTTGTATTTGTAATAGTAAGGCTATATGCTCTTTGGGTTTTGCATTGGATGGATATCAATTGGTTGTTGGATCAGAGGATGGATGGAATGGATATCAATTAGTGTCAAGATATTTTCACTACCCGATTTAAATCTCATCACTGAAGAACATCTAGGTGGTGAAATAATACCACGTTCTGTTCTTCTTTGTGCCTTTGAAGGGGTATGATTCTCATCTCATCTTCATCTTTATCTTCATCTATGAGGGAAAATTTGTAAAAAGTGTTTAATGTTTAATTACAGATACCTTAGTTGTTGTGTGCACTTGGGGATGGACATCTTTTGAAGTTTTTACTCAACACAAGCACAGGGGAATTAACAGACAGGAAAAAGGTGTCACTTAGGAAAGAATTAAGAATGTTGTCACAGGCTGCAAGAGATGCTGGAGCCCTTCGATAAGCTAAGGACAAACTGGAGAAGTGAGTTGAAGAGCTGAAATGGAGATTAGACTTTGAAAAGCATTTGAGGGTATATTTTTTTTATATTTCTTGTATCTAATTAGTTTGTAAATTTTTGTTACAACTTCTATTGATTTGTTTTCTCTTTCCATGGAACGATTATTTGTATGACATTAAATTTTATGCAATGGATTGTATTTTTTGTATATGATATTTTATTTTCTATAATGAGACATTAAATACAAATTTAATTTGAAAATTAGTAAATTTATAAATAATATTTTTTTTAAACATTTAAAATTATGATACGCAAAAATGTGTGTCATCTTCATTTATGACATTGCCTTTCTTGACATGGGCTTTAATGATACGCAATGCGAGTCGTAAATGCACTTCGTAAGGTTACGACACGCAAATGCGTGTCATCTTCCTTTATGACAGGGCCTTCCTTGATACGCAATGCATGTCGTAAACGCGCGTCGTAAATGCGTGTCGTAATTGCGCGTCGTAAATAGACGACGCGCAAAAGCGTGTCGTCTCTCGTTATGACAGGGCCTTTCTTGACACGCATTTGCACGTCGTCTGAGCGTTTTACAACACGCATTGTGCGTCGTAAAATGCTGTTTTTCTAGTAGTGTCATGGTTGTGATATCCAATGGCATTCAACATTCTCATCGTGGTACTACTGATTGTGCCTACTGCACGTGATTTTTTAACATGTCATGACCAAAACAGGATAAGGTCATGACAAGCACAATTTTTTCTAAAAACGTGCTAACGCACATGTATAACTAAACGGTATAAGGGGGTATTACTATCATAGTTGAACTACTAGCAAAAATAATGATTGTTGAATTCATTCCATCCTTCTTGTTTCTTTGGGACGATCACCTTGTCGCGTTCCAAATGTCCTTCTTCATTCTCACGACTAAAGCAGGTACTATATCACTCAAGGTTCTCAGAACCAACTCACTTACACAATTTTACTTTATTCGGACTTGATCTTTCATGTCCACTTGGGCCCGAACTTAGAATCACTTTCCTAGATATCACCATACAATGGGTAATGATGCAAAATGAATTCATAGTGTTACCAAACTATCTCCTAACTACTAGTGACTTAGCAGATTTGTGACTCTTCCTGATCCAAGTGCGAGTATTGTGCTTTGAGTAGTATAGGCATCCATTACCTTTCACATCTACTCATACTTGTCCTAATCTCGTAGTTTCAAGTCACTTCCAAAACTACACACGATGACCGCTAAACACACACACACACACACACACACACACACACACATATATATATATATATATATATATATATGCATGTGTCCCATGATCACATAGAACAAGTTTTCCTAAAATCCACTAGGGCTTTGCATCTTTATTGATGCTCTATCTACCAATATATGCCCTATCAAGCATATATTAAACATCTTAGACTCTCTTTCTAGGATTCCTTTCCACTTCACCCTACTATTAACCGATGAAGAACTTCCAACTATATTAACTAACTATCGAATGAATATGATTACATGCCTCTAGAAATCAAACAATATGTTGACTGAAAGATCTGACATTACGCCAGTTGGACTTAGACAAGAGTTGCACAATAGCGCCAAATCAAACAATCTAAAACTATATAATTCTGGGAGTATGCAACCTAATGTATTTTTCAAATTACTAAATAATATCAATATAGGTTCTAAGCAGCAAATATGTAACGTCCCAAAATTTTCAATAAATTCTAAACTTTAAAAAAATTATATTTATAATAAAAACCTAAAGATCTATTAATTAACCAAAACCGTTAATTTTCAAGTATTCAAATAACATTTAAAAATCAAAACATACTTTTAACAAGATTAATCCATTTATACTTCAAAACAACAGCGGGAAACTATATTCTTAAAATCTCATATTAAGAGTATGTGACAAGGACCCAATCTTCAACGACGCTAGTGTACAGTCAAGCTAAAACCTCATTCATACCATATGTACTTGTAATAATCATTTTATAAAGGAAAGGGTAAGCACGAAGCTTAGTGAATTCCAACACAACATAACAATAGAAGTATTACACCCTACTCCTACATTCCATGCCATCAACAAATAAGAAAATATCCATATAACATATAAACATCAAGATCATACATATCGTGTATATTTGGGAACACATCCCAAACAACACCCAAATAAAGACTAGATATTCAACCTTCAAGTCCACGGAGTTGGCGTTTCCTTTTTCGGTCCCCCTGACTTGGCACAATGGCCTTCGTTCAGTCGGCTCAGTATTCAACCGTTGAGCCCAAACATATCATGTATATACATTCACATAACGAATAAGAACATAAAATATAGCTCATGCAACAAGTATTACTTTATATCAATCATATAGTTGATGGGTTTTAGGTGGAAACAAATAAACTAGAAAACAATTCCTAAGTTCACATGCAACCTACTTTGGATCTATGTTTTAACTATTGAACATACAACTTTGAATTGCAAAACAAGAACCCTAGAGGAGAGAGGCTAATTTCGAAATTAACAAACTAGGGTTTAGGGTTTACATACCTTTCAATTGTTATAGCAAACAATTGATATTCCCCTGATCTTGATCTTGATCTTCTTGGAAGCTTAGCACCACAAGTGTAATGCCTCTAATGGAATCACACCCAAGAACTAGCAAGAAGGAAACTTGGAGGAGAGAGGATGGAGAGAGTATGCAATTTCGGCCTTAGGGTTTCTTCCAAAGAAATCAGTACCCAAAATGTGAGCCAGGAGGCTCCTTAAATAGTTGAGGGAACTAGGGTTTAGGGAAAACCCTAGTTATCCTTTGCTTAGGGCCTAAGCAAGACCCAAGGCCTTATCTTGGACCCCTTGGACGAATTCTCTAGGGTTTCCCCTAGGGTTTTCGTCCACCCCCTTCCAAGGGAGTTCTGGATCCTTCCACTCAACTATTAGTTAATTGCAAACTAGTCCCTGCACTTTATAATTAATTCTTTTAACCCCAAAATCAATTCTGATTAATTTCTGGCTAACAATTAATTAAACATAATGATTTCTAATTAATATATTAATCCATT